AGAGGAAGAGAGAACCAAAAGGTAGAAGGAGGGTAAAAGAGGGAGAGAGAACCAAAAGGTAGAAGGAGGGTAAAAGAGGGAGAGAGAACCAGAAGGTAGAAGGAGGTAAAAGAGGGAGAGAGAACCAGAGAAGGTAGAAAGAGAGGGTAAAGAGGGAGAGAGAACCAAAAGGTAGAAGGAGGGTAAAAGAGGGGAGAGAAGAACCAGAAGGGTAGAAGGAGGGTAAAGAGGGAGAGAGAACCAAAAGGAAAGGAGGGTAAAAAGGGGAGAGAGAACCAAAAGGAGAAGGAGGGTAAAAGAGGGAGAGAGAACCAAAAGGTAAAGGAGGTAAAAGAGGGAGAGAACCAAAAAGGTAGAGGAGGGTAAAAGAGGAGAGAGAAGAAAGGCAGAAGGAGGTAAAGAGGGAGAGAGAACCAAGAAGTAGAAGGAGGGTAAAAGAGGGAGAGAAGTAGAAGGAGGGTAAAAGAGGGAGAGAGAACCAAAAGGCAGAAGGAGGTAAAAGAGGGAGAGAGAACCAAAAGGCAGAAGGAGGTAAAAGAGGGAGAGAGAACCAAAGGAGAAGGAGGGTAAAAGAGGAGAAGAGAACCAAAAAAGGGAGAAGGAGGGTAAAAAGAGGGAGAGAGACAAAAGGTAGAAGGAGGTAAAAGAGGAGAGAGAGAACCAAAAGGTAGAAGGAGGTAAAAGAGGGGAAGAGAAACCAAAGGTAGAAGAGTAAAAGAAGGGAGAGAGAACCAGAAGGTAGAAGGAGGGTAAAAGAGGGAGAGAGAACCAAAAGGCAGAAGGAAGGTAAAAGAGGGAGAGAGAACCAAAAGGTAGAAGGAGGTAAAAGAGGGAGAGAGAACCAAAAGGGAGAAGGAGGGTAAAAGAGGGAGAGAGAACCAAAAGGGAGAAGGAGGGTAAAAGAGGGAGAGAGAACCAAAAGGTAGAAGGAGGGTAAAAGAGGGAGAGAGAACCAAAAGGTAGATAAAAGTAAGGAGGTAAAAGAAGGGAGAGAGAACCAGAAGGTAGAAGGAGGGTAAGAGGGAGAGAGAAGCCAGAAAGGAGAAGAGGGTAAAGAGGAGAGAGAACCAAAAGGTAGGGAGTAAAAGAGGGAGAGAGAACCAAAAGGTAGAAGGAGGGTAAAAGAGGGAGAGAGAACCAGAAGGTAGGAGGTAAAAGAGGGAGAGAGAACCAGAAGGTAGAAGGAGGGTAAAAGAGGGAGAGAGAACCAAAAGGTAGGAGGTAAAAGAGGGAGAGAGAACAGGGTAGAAGGAGGGTAAAAGAGGGAAGAGAGAACCAGAAGGTAGAAAGGAGGGTAAAAGAGGGAGAGAGAACCAAAAGGAGAAGGAGGTAAGAGGGAGAGAGAAGGCAGAAGGAGGGTAAAAGAGCGAGAGAGAACCAAAAGGCAGAAGGAGGGTAAAAGAGGGAGAGAGAACCAGAAGGTAGAAGGAGGGTAAAAGAGGGAGAGAGAACCAAAAGGCAGAAAGAGGGTAAAGAGGAGAGAGACAGAAGGTAGAAGGAGGGTAAAAGAGGGAGACAGAACCAGAAGGTAGAAGGAGGGTAAAAGAGGGAGACAGAACCAAAGGTAGAAGAGGGTAAAGAGGGAGAGAGAACCAGAAGGTAGAAGGAGGGTAAAAGAGGGAGAGAGAACCAGAAGGTAGAAGGAGGGTAAAAGAGGGAGAGAGAACCAAAAGGAGAAGGAGGGTAAAAGAGGGAGAGAGAACAAAGGGAGAAGGGTGTAAAAGAGAGAGAGAAGAACCAGAAGGTAGAAGGAGGGTAAAGAGGGAGAGAGAACCAGAAGGTAGAAAGGAGGGTAAAGAGGGAGAGAGAACCAAAAGTAAAAGAGGAGAAAAGAACCAAAGGTAGAGGAGGGTAAAAGAGGGAGAGAGAGCCAAAAGGTAGAAGGAGGGTAAAAGAGCGAGAGAGAACCAAAAGGTAGAAGGAGGGTAAAAGAAGGAGAGAGAACCAAAAGGGAGAAGCAGGGTAAAAGAAGGAGAGAGAACCAAAAGGTAGAAGGAGGGTAAAAGAGCGAGAGAGAACCAGAAGGCAGAAGGAAGGTAAAAGAGGGAGATAGAACCAGAAGCTAGAAGGAGGGTAAAAGAGGGAGAGAGAACCAAAAGGGAGAAGGAGGGTAAAAGAAGGAGAGAGAATCAGAAGATAGAAGGGGGTAAAAGAGCGAGAGAGAACCTGAAGGTAGAAGGAGGGTAAAAGAGAACCAGAAGGTAGAAGGAGGGTAAAAGAGGGAGAGAGAACCAAAAGGTAAAAGAAGGTAAAAGAGGGAGAGAGAACCAGAAGGTAAAGGAGGGAGAGAGAACCAAAAGGTAGAAGGAGCGTAAAAGAGGGAGAGGGAACCAAAAGGGAGAAGGAGGGAAAAAGATGGAAAGAGAACCAAAAGGCAGAAGGAGGTAAAAGAGGGAGAGAAAACCAGAAGGTAGAAGGAGGGTAAAAGAGGGAGAGAGAACCAAAAGAGAGAAGGAAGGTAAAAGAGGGAGAGAGAACCAGAAGGTAGAAGGAGGGTAAAAGAGGGAGAGAGAACCAGAAGGTAGAAGGAGGGTAAAAGAGGGAGAGAGAACCAGAAGGTAGAAGAGGGTAAAAAGAGGGAGAGAGACCAAAAAGAAGAGAAGGAAGGTAAAAGAGGAGAGAGAACGAGAGAAGAACGAGAGAGAACCAGAAGGTAGAAGGAGGGTAAAAGAAAGGGAGAAGGTAGAAAAGGAGTAAAAGAGGAAGAGAGAACCAAAAGGTAGAAGGAGGTAAAAGAGGGAGAGAGAACCAAAAGGTAGAAGGAGGTAAAAGAGGGAGAGAGAACCAAAGTAGAAAGGAGCTAAAAGAGGGAGAGAGAACCAAAAGGTAGAAGGAGGTAAAAGAGCGAGAGAGAACCAAAAGGTAGGAGGGTAAAAGAGGGAGAGAGAACCAAAAGGTAGAAGGAGGGTAAAAGAGCGAGAGAGAACCAAAAGGTAGGAGGGTAAACGAGGGAGAGAGAACCAAAAGGTAGAAGGAGGTAAAAGAGCGAGAGAGAAAAAAAGGTAGGAGGGTAAACGAGGGAGAGAGAACCAAAAGGTAGAAGGAGGGTAAAAGAGGGAGAGAGAACCAGAAGGTAGAAGGAGGGTAAAAGAGAACCAAAAGGTAGAAGGAGGGTAAAAGAGGGAATGAGAACCAAAAGGTAGAAAGAGGGTAAAAGAGGGAGAGAGACCAGAAGGTAGAAGGAGGGTAAAAAGAGAACCAAAAGGTAGAAGGAGGGTAAAAGAGGGAATGAGAACCAAAAGGTAGAAAGAGGGTAAAAGAGGGAGAGAGAACCAGAAGGTAGAAAGAGGGTAAAAGAGGGAGAGAGAACCAGAAGGTAGAAGGAGGGTAAAAGAGGCAGAGAGAACCAAAAGGTAGAAGGAGGGTAAAAGAGGGAGAGAGAACCAAAAGGCAGAAGGAGGTAAAAGAGGGAGAGAGAACCAAAAGGTAGAAGGAGGGTAAAAGAGGAAGAGAGAACAAAAAGGCAGAAGGAGGGTAAAAGAGGGAGAGAGAACCAGAAGGTAGAAGGAGGGTAAAAGAGGGAGAGAGAACCAGAAGGCAGAAGGAGGGTAAAAGAGGGAGAGAGAACCAGAAGGCAGAAGGAGGTAAAAGAGCGAGAGAGAACCAGAAGGTAGAAGGAGGTAAAAGAGGGAGAGAGAACCAGAAGGTAGAAGGAGGGTAAAAGAGCGAGAGAGGAGTGCTTCTCACTTTTCTGTTAAAATCATTACTTCTCTCTGTTCGAATTTCGACGAGGCATGTACAAATTAGTAGCACTCATTATTATTATTATCATTATTATTATTATTATTATTATTATCATCATCATCATCATCATCATCATCATCATCATCATCATCATCATCATCATCAATCACATCATCATCATCATCATCATCATCATCATCATTATCATTATTATTATCATAATTATTATTATTATTTCTGTTATTCACAAGACTGATGTTATATCTCGGTTAATGAGCTGCAATAGCGGACCACAACCAGTGGTCTTAGATATTGCAGCATCCCTAATTTCTTCATTTCATGTCCAAGACTTTCCGAATGATTCTGGCTGTTCCAAGTAAACAAGGTTTTTGTAACATTTCTGCTGTTATTCCCAAATCTAGCTTTTGAATCCATTTTTCAAAGTCTTTCGTCACAGATTCTAATGCCTCTACAACTACAGGGATTACTTCAACTTCTTTCATTCTCCACATTCTTGCAATCTCATATTTCAAGTCGCAGTAATTGTTGCACTTTTCTTCTTCTTTCTTTTCAATGCGAGTGTCAAATGGGCATGCTGGGTCGATATGAAGGCATTTTTTGCTATTTTTCTCAATTACAGTGATATCCGGTCTATTGTGTTCCAGTGTCTTGTCTGTTTGTATGGGGAAATCCCATAAAATCTTGCACTCGTCGGATTCCAATACTTTTTCAGGCTTGTGTGTGTACCACTTGTCTGATTTCTCAAATCCCCATTTTTCACATAATTTCCAGTGGATCACTTTTGCAACATTGTCATGTCTAACTTCTTTGTATTCCTTCTGTGCTAGTTTCTGGCATTCTGACACAATATGTGCCACTGTTTCTTCTGCAGCACCACACACTCTACAACTTGAATCCATATCCTCTCCATAGACTCTTTTCCTCAAATTCCTTGTGCAAAGGGCTTGATCTTGTGCTGCTATGATTGTACTTTCTGTTTCTTTTTCAAATATCCTTTTCTTAGCCAATCCCATGATTCACTGCTCTTTACTTTCTCCGTAGCTTTGTGGAACTGTCCATGCAATCCTTTGTTCTCGTATCTCTCTTTATGACTTTTCTGTATATCCTCTCTGCTCTGCTCATGCTTCTTGTTCTCAAGAATACTACTGATGTTTACTTCCTTCAACATGTTTTCTTCTGACGCGCGTAAGTACTTATCAAGACTGTTGACTTCTGCCTGCGTGGAATTCATGATGAACAGATTGCAACCGGAACAACGAAGGGAAGGGCAAGAAAACACACGAATATCCTTGCACCTAAACTTCTGCCTGCACACAATCTTCAACGCCAAGCAAGCCTCTTCCACCATCATATCTTTTCAAGTACAACCTATCAACATCTGCTTTTGGGTGTTGCGCCCCATACATTGTCATCAGCTTTCTTGTTTTCCTGTCCATTTCCTCCAATTCATTCTTTGTCCACTTTATGATTCCTGTTCCGTATCTGACAACTGATACCGCTCTTGAATTAATGGCTGAGATTATATTTCCTCCGTTTAACTTTGATTTCAATATGTTTCTGACCCTTCTGGTATATTCTTTCTTTACTTGATCTTTCATTTGATCATGCTTTATTCCATCCACTTCCAAGACACCAAGATACTTGTATCCACTTTCCTCTATCTTTCTCATCATTGCACCATCTGGCATGCGGAGGCCATCGCTTTCAACTACTTTTCCTCTTTTTATGATTAGCACTCCACATTTAGATAATCCAAACTCCATCTTGATATCTTCTGAGAATATTCTGACTGTATTTACTAAACTATCAATTTGATCTTTATCTTTTGCGAATAATTTCAAGTCGTCCATAAAAAGTAAATGGTTAATTCTTTCTCCTTTCTTCTTTACTTCATAAAAGATATTTATTTTCCTCAGCAACAGCGTCAACGGGATCATCGTCAAGAGAAACAGCAGCGGTGATAAACTATCCCCCTGAAAAATTCCTCGCTTTATTTTTACGTTTCCAAGTCTGGTTTGGCCCGCATTTAATTCTGTGTTCCACTTTTTCACTGACTCGCTTATGAAAGACTTGACATTGACTGCTATCCCAAACATATCCGAACATTTTTCTATCCAGCTATGAGGGACCGCATCGTAAGCTTTACGATAGTCAATCCATGCAACAGCTAGTGAGGTTAAACGTTTTTTACAATTTTTCAAGATCATTTTGTCAATTAGAAGTTGGTCTTTAGTCCCACGGCTTCCTTTTCTGCAACCTTTTTGTTCCCATGTCAATAATGCTGCTTCTTCAAGATAATTATACAATTTTTCCGCTATGATCCCAGTCAGTAATTTCCACAGCAGCGGCAAACATGTGATTGGCCTAAAATTGTCAACTGCGCTTCCTTTTGCCAAATCTTTTACACAAAGTACTGTTTTCCCTGTCACCATCCATAGTGGCACGCTATTTTCTTGGAGACACTTATCCACTTGAATTGCTATCTTACCATGTAAATTAGTCAAATTCTTTATCCAATACCCTTGCCCTCCATCAGAACGAGGGCTTTTCCAATTCGGTATTTTCCTTATCTGCTTTCTCAATGTCGGTGTCTCGATACGTATGTCTTCTTGCACTCCTTCTCCTGCTAATTCATCCTCCACATTCTTCAACCACTCTGGGTTCTTCTTGTGCTTTACTGAATTGTCCCATATTTCACTCCAGATTTTAGTACTTTCCTCTGCATCAGGTACCACCATTTCCCTTTCCACTCCATCCAATTCATCGAACAATTTCTTTTGGTTTGTTTCAAACAAGCGATTCTGTCTGTAATGGCTTGTCCTATTGTCATATCTTTCAAGCTTTGCTCCAATTGCAACTAACCTTTGTTGAACTTCTTTATGAACTACAGATACTCCCTTTTCTTCAATGCAATATTTCATTATTATTATTATTATTATTATTATTATTATTATTATTATTATTATTGTTATATTATTAACATTATTAATATTATTATCATTATCATCATCATTGTTGTTGGCATTATGATTGTTACTATTATTATTTTATTACTATAATTACTATTACTGTTATCACCATTATTGTTATCGTCATCATTATGATTATCATTTTTATTAGTATCATCTTTATTATTGTCATTATCATTTGTGTTATCATTTTCATTGATTTTGATATCATTATTATTGTTATTATTATTTTTGCTGTTATTATTAATTTATAGTATTGTTATTGTAGATATTGTTATTATTACCACAACTATTATTATTATTATTATTATTATTATTATTATTATTGGTATCATTGTTATCATTATCATTATTCTTATTAATGATATTATTATCGCTGTTGTATTATCATCATTATCACTATTATTATTGTTATTATTATTTTCGTTATTATTGTTATTATCATTATTATTGTTTTTATAATTTTCATTAATATTGTTACTATTATAATTATTATAATCATTATCATTATCATTATCATTATTACTGTTGTTATTATCTTTTATCATTCTTATCATAAGTAGTATTATCATCATTGTTATTATTATCAGTATTGTTGTTGTTATTATCACTATTTTTGTTATCATTGCCATTATCATTAATGTCATCATTACATTATCATTACTTTTACAAAGATCATTATTATTATCATTACTTTTACAAAGATCAGATCGATCATTATCATTATCATTATCATTGTGACCAACGTCCTCCCTACTTAGTAATGACTTATTACGTCGTTGATATTATCCTTTTCTCGTCACAGTAATTTCAAATATCAACGGATTGGACAACTATTTAGTTCTTGCGAATTTTTACAAACATTTTACTTTGATAACACCATATTAAATTTCAAAACATTGAATGACGTCACACCACTTGCATGCAGAAACATGCGGTTTCACGAACAGTAATACGAAAACGCTCTTGGCCGATCAGCTGATAAGATAAACAAACAACATGCTTGCAGGTCGTGCGTCAAATTTATTTCGTGCGTCTGGTAAAGGGTCTCGCATGACTTTAGTATGTAGGGCTGTATCTCAAAATACGGAAATAAGTGTAGATACCAAAATATTAGCTAGCTTTTACAATGACGACCACAGGGAGTTACAAAAATCTGTGATAAAGGTGAGAAGCCAAAGATGGTTTGAAGCAATGCCATCTTTTCCAGCGGGTACGGGAAACGCGACACCTTTCACGCGACAGAGATCGAGCCAGATGAATTCCTCCTACTTCGGGTATTTCATACATACTGGTATTTATATTGGATATCTATAACACTGCACTACCCACCATAAGATATTGAAAGCTATCTAATTTTATCATATTTCAAATGTCGGATAAATAACCAGAACAGTAAAATACCAAGCTGTCAACCATGGCCATTTCCAATTTGTCACAGAAATGGGAGGAGCTTAGAGGCCTTTATCGCTTCTGGTCACAAGACAGTTTTTGGTGTCACGTCGCGTTGCGAGACACCCTAATTGCCACCGGAAATCATGAGGGTGTGATTCGTTTAGGCCACAAGAATGATAGTTCCTCATTTTACATTTGTGCAAAACTGAAAACTGATGCTGCTATATTTCATTATTCATTATTTATTTTGGTACAGGTCAATTTTCATTCATATTTACTAGTAAATGGATTCTCTATAAAGCATGACCAGAGAACTGCTTTCCAAAGTCATCAAATCATATTTTGGGGGGAATAATTAAATTTGATGAAAATAATAAATTTTTTTGGTGAGTGCTTTTGGGACTTGCAGGAGATGGACTCAAAACAGGAACTTTGATTCTCATGGCCTTATTATCTTTAATAAATGCAAGGTTTCACCCCTTATCTTCTTGATGTAGTAGCTGTACTATAAGGATATATTAGGTATAACTTTTCTCATATTCTAAAGATCTTTTATCCCTTTTCATCAACTTCAAGACTTCAAAATAAATCATGAACTTGATATGCATCTTGGTAATTATTTACCCCATAGCCTTGTTAAGAGGTTAAGAAATTGGTTAAGGTTTATGATAGGACCACACTGACTAGGAGAAAATTGAAGATCATAGCATTGTAGGCGATAAAAAAGTACATTCTTTGCTGTCAAAATTGATTTGCTGAAGCAAACCTACTCGAGTTAAACAACAAAATGTGGCGTGCAGAATGCCACGCAGAGACTGATTCTCCATGCGCCTCCAACGATGAAGTCCAGCCCTCCTTGCATCGCAGAGATAAACTTAGCTGTGCGTGAACCCAACATAAACTGTTGTGGTGCATGTAGCTTGTGATGTCACGGCCAATTTCTTAGAAGTGAACTGTACTAGAATATATTTCTGTACTATAATTTATATGAAATTTTAACCAAATACGCATTTATCAAATGTTCAATCCTTAAATGCACAATGTGATCGATTTGACC